TAGGTTCATTTAGGTCTTGCTGAGGTAAACCTACAATTTCTTTAAAGGGAAAAAATTATTCAAATGAATAAGGCCAATGTTGATTGTATGTTAGATTTTATCGTTATAGGCATATGAGCCTTTGCAATAAACACAACACAAAAATCTGAATGTATCGTAATAGTACAATAGAGTCAAGCTATGCTTTCTAACTCAGCTTGTGTATGGCCTATTTTACCAGTTGGATGGAGGCCTGAGTATAATGTTCATGCTTTCTCACCATTTTGATGCCGTCAGATGAAGCTCAAGCTTGCTATCAGCTATGCCCTTAGAAAAAAACAAAGTGTTTTGGATTTATTTTGGATTCATGAGGGATATTTTGCAAACACAGGAATTGTGTAAAACATAAAAAAGGCCAGTCAATATGCTCCTAATTTGCTCTTATCGCAATTCTTGTCATTGCAATATTAAACAATGTGTTCGCACATCGCTTATTTTTTCTCATATTGTGCAGGTTCAAATAAAAAGGGCTCTGTCTAAACAATAAGTATGACTCAACTTCATCCAAAACAAAACAGTCATCTGTTCAGCTGTGACCGACCATACAAATACAATCAACCACAAACTAACTTTGTTACATCATGCCATGTTCTTCTGTTAACCTTTCAAACGTCATTGATATAAAAGATCCATCTATGATTTGATTAGAGATAATGCCACTAGTGAAAAATGAAACCAATGCAGAAGTGCAAAAAAAAGCCTGCAGTTCCAGTTGTCTCCTTGAGGCTGTACCATGTATGAAAGAATCCCCATTAGAGCCAATATTGCTAAATGGATAATGGACTTGTATGGTGTTTTCTGGTTATCTGATCACTGCAGGCTCTTTTCACACTGCATTACACATTCACCCATTCACATCACATTTAAATAATGGCAGAGACGTTTTGAACTGATGGTAGATAGAAATCCAAAGTAACAACTGTTCATCCTTTTGAGGGAAGTGATTTTTCAATAAAATCTCAACTGAAACTTGATATAGACCAAGTGCCTGAGCATCCTTTGCTATACCATGTTGATGGCTCTGAAGGGAACACTAATGTCTGATATAGATTCTGGATAAAACATCTCCCTATCCAAACAGAAAGATGTTCATAGCACAACCAGGGCATCTTATAATTAATGGTTCAAATTAAGGTTTCATTTTTCCATTCGCTGCAAGTGTTTTGTCTTCTTTTTCCCAGTTGATAGTTTGGGATCCTGGCCAAGTTAGGAGATGACTTCACACTGCACTGCTCCTCTGCAAAGCTCTAACGCGATTCTCTGAAATCTGCTGGCACAAAAGACCAATTAATATGCATGTTGTTACTCAGATATTTATCGCCCCAGTAACACTGCCGGTTTATTACTGCGCTGTTGTTCTGGGGGGTATTGTTGTTGTGTGTGTTTTTTTTTATTTCCTCATTTGCGTGTTAGACTCAGCCAGATAGGCCCTTGTATGCAGCAGCAGAATCAGCTGGTTGTCAGGGGTGACCACAACAGAAAGAACAAGTGAGATGGAGAGATGTATTGTATAGCTTTCTATTGCTTTTGTTAAGGGCTTTGCTGCCCTGTTTAGTTCTATCCATCCATCCATCCACGTGTTTGTCAATTATGTATCCATCTATCCGTCCATCTATGTATCGATCATTCAAGTTATCTAAATATCTAGATGTATAGCGACAGTATATTCTGCCTTTTCAATCCATTTTTCATAATTCAGCCTTTTTCCATGGGAAATTAATGGACGTTTATGTTTCGATTTAGCTTTTAGTTGTCACGGGGGGCAGAAAGAGCTTCTCTCTGTAGTCTTTAGTCTGTCGTTTTTAGCAACATGGTTCCCATCAGAAGGAAACGTTTATCTGGCATGTAGTTATGTTGGCCTGTTTTCATGAAATATTCCTGTGATCGTACAACATCAGGTCATACTCCTCTCCACTGCAGTGTACCTCCTTCTAGAATATTATTCAGCCAGAAAGAAAGGGAGTCTTTTTCAACATTCCCACAAATCTCTGATGGTTTACAAATCTTCATGGTCACAATGACTATCCTGTCCCTATAGAAACATTACAAGTATCTCTCTTTTCAGTATCATGATAAACCCAAGAGATACCAAAGCCAATTATGAAGTTACCTAAAAGTGAATTCCACAGACAAATATTGTCTGTGGGGCAAATAAAATCATAAAATTAACCATTGGATTCATTGACATGTTACTTGATTAAGATGGACAGAGTAAGTGAGTGTATCCTGACGTGACTCTTCAGCTACATGTTTTGAAATACTTGGCAGACGTCATCAGGGAAGTACTGTCATTCTATTCTATTCTATACATAAACAAACACTGGCTATAAAATGCTCAACGTGTCACATCAAGGAAGATCGACGGTGTTAAAGACATCATTTGGTGTTTTGTGTAAGGTTTGCTGCTAATTATGAATACTTGGAATCTAAAGAAAGCTTCACCCATAAAATCCAGTGGATTTAATTTATTTTTAGATCCTACAGAGCTTTAAGAGCCCTAAAATCATTTAGCCTCAAAAAGACTGATGAGGAAGTGCTGAGAGTTAAAATCAACCCCAGCAGGGGAGAAGAGTGAGTGTGAATTCATGGGTAGCTCTGAGAGTGTTCACATCTCTTGCACCTAAATGATCAAAGTGCCATCAACCAGCATAAAGTGTTTGTGAGATTGAAATAATGATCTTTATCTTAATGCCTCCCACTGTAAATAGTGTCTGTAGGTTTTATGGCGGGCCAAGTCTGTTTTGATAGTGCTTTTATGCGCCTCTTCAGAGCTAGTAGCATGAGCCAGCCCTTCCTTACATGTGAGTCAGACATTGATACTTTGATGCTGTTTGGATTTGTAATAGATTATATTTTGGGCTTCTATGCCTTTATCTAAGAGGACAGTGGATAGAGCAGGAAATCGGAGAGAGAGAGTGTGTGTGTTTGACATGTGGGGAAGGATCCATGGGGTCGGCTGTCTGCTTGGAGGACTGTAGCCCATGCATGGGATCCGAACTAACTTCTATGGAAAGGAATTGAAGCGTGAACAGGCCTGGTATTTCTCTGTGGTGGTTCTTTTATTCATAATGTTTAAGCAGGCCATAGTGTAATTATGTGTTATCCATTTGTGCACTATAGGCTGCACCATAACTTGCATTATTTGACTCTCCAACCTTGGGGCTGTTCGGCTCTGTCTCTCATGACTAAGCAGAAGTTGACACAGGAGATAAAATAGCAGCTGTTTGTGAAAGCACAATGTACAGCACGTTTACAGGCATAATTTTTTTTTGCTTTTAATCACATTTTAGGCATTTAGAAAACACAGATTGTTCATAATTAAAAGTCAGTCCTTACACAAAAGTTATCTGAAAACTTCCTATTGTCCAGTGATGCCTGTGGGTCTATTTACTGCCAAATAAATTCCTCCCACAGTCAACCAACACATGAAATTTCTGGGGGAAAAAAAGACAAAAGCAAGCACAGGCGTCTACTCAATCAAGCACCATCCAATCCACTGTCAGGCTGAGTGGCATCCACATACCATAGATGTGGCAGCATTGCTTTTAAAACAAACCTCTAACCCAGCCAGCATCCACTCTCAAACACGCTGGATAATGGAAAATATTGATATTTTCTGGCAAATGCTGAATGCACCGCCTCTAGAAATTAATCATAGCTTTGAGGAGAGTGCTCTCTCCTTGTCTGACTGCCCGGCCTGCCTCCCTGAGTTCCACCTGTCTCATTCTCTCCATTCTCAGCCTTGCCCAGCTTCTCCACAACTTGTCTGTCCACGTGATCAGATCTAGGTAGCCTGGTCATCTCAGTAATGCCTTTCCTTCTGTTGATTCCTCCTGGGTCCAAAGCCGTGTGTTTGGTGATGTATGCTCCACGCACCGACACTGGACAGCTCATCTCTCTCAGCCACGGGCACCTCTGAATAAGCACATCCACCATGGGCCAATCTCTCAAATGCACTTTAGGGCTGCTGCTGCTGTTGCTGCTGCATCCGCCATTGACATCAACAGAAGAAGAAAAGAACTATAACCATTTTAGAGACATGTATGAGGCCTTAGAGTATTAGTGTTGGGTAAGAATCTTGTGCTTGACAACCAACCTTTTTCACTTTAAACATTGGACGGTGCAGAAAAGTCTCAAAGCTTGAAAAGCAAATTTAAACCTCTATATTTTTAGTCTTCATTTTCACTCCAACATGTGTTTTCTCTTGGTGCAGCTCTCAATCAAATGATGCATCACATCACAGTTCCCTCTCTGTCCCTGGGCTTCCACCCCAACTTCCACCCTGCCTTGCTTGGGGTAGCACCACCCTCACACCCATGGGCTTTTCCTGCTCTCCATAAACAGTACAAACCATTTTTTTTTTTTTCAAACTCCTAAAACGATGTACACCCAAGCTCTCCCAGCTATACCCTGAAACACAGCCCTTGACTTTAATTGAAAACCAAGCCAAATGTTGAGTGTGGGATGAATGTATGAATTACAAATGAAGCACAGAGGGAACGCAATGCTGAATACTCAAAAAACAGCAGGAGCCCACTGAACATGGCTCTCACATGTATCAAATGAATTGCCATTTACTTTCAGTCTCTCTATCTGCACCTCTTTGCTCTTGCCTTGCTCCTCCTGGCTATTGTACCTTTTTATCCACTCTGACATTCCCCAGACGTCTGATGGATATCGGACTATGTCCTCCAGGAGACATATTCCATTATCATGCTGCCACAGCGCTCATCCTTGGACCCATCTCCCCTTTAATCAATGACCATGCAGCACAGCCGGCAAGCACAATCAAGACCCTCAAAGCGAAACATTTACCAAATATATTAAAACCAACAGATGACACAAAAGAGATTTGAATGACAGAAATCATGTGAATATCACACGGCACATAAACACTAATTCCTTCATATCATCTCAGATCAATATAAATGGAAATCCAGCCCAGCTGTGGAGCCTCTTACCTGCGTAACTCTGTGGTGGTCCTCCTCTCTGGGGCTGTGATTGATGAAGACCCCTGGTCTACACGGCTATGCCCTCCTATATGGGCATGCATCTGTGGGGCAGATCAGAGGTCTGCCTTGTATATCTCAGCCTGGTAAGAGAGGAGGGGGGATCAAGGATCAGAGAGTCCTTCCAGCCAGCAGCCCCGTCTAGCACATCTCCTTGTGTCTCCAGCTCGCCCGGGTCATTCCATCTAGCCCCTCAGCAGCCGCAGAGCCAGGGAGCAAGCTTTCAAAGGGGGATGGGAGGTGCTTAGAGGACTGAAGCGGACATGGAACAGCGAGCAGAGCACCTCCTCCTCCTCCTACATGTCTGACTGCAGCTGGTGGACATGCTACAGCTGGAGCCTCCGTCCTCCGTTTTTTCCCTGTGCATGTGTGACTGTGTGTGTGTATGTGTGTGTGTGTGTGTGTGTGGTTTGGTGATATTGCGCGTCAGTGCTGGCTCCACTCCGTGCCGTGTGTGAAAGCAGGGTCTCTTTGCTCACTGTCAATGCTGCCAGTGGCTGCGAGATGCTGAGGCAGAGAGAGAGAGAGAGAGAGAGAGAGAGAGAGAGAGAGAGAGAGAGAGAGAGAGAGAGAGAGAGAGAGAGGGAGGTGTGAGGCAGCATGTGAGAGAGAAATTTCAGGGAGAGTACAGGAAAGGTTGTTTTCCCTCCTGCTCCATCTATCGGTATCAATTTAATCAGGGATGCATGGAAGTGGCTGAGTTAATGAGTCATCCATACCCCTGAGCATGCCTGTGAGTGTGTGTGTGTGTGTGTGTGTGTGTGTGTGTGTGTGTGTGTGTGTGTGTGTGTGTGTGTGTGTGTGACACTATGAAAGATGTACACAGCAGAGCATGAATGTTACATATTTATGCTTTGCATATCTTGCATGTTTACTGAATGAAAATACATGATTGCAAAATCTTTGTATGCTAATGAGCATGTTTTTAACAGCTATATGAGAACCTTATCGTGCAATGTGCACACATGCTCACACACAGTCAAAAGTACACAGAATAGAAGCGAGGATGTAAACAGCAGCAGAAAAATCTCCTCAGGCTATCAGTATATCAACCGCCCAGAGAACCTACAGCCTTAACAGTCTACCTGACTCCCTGAAAGCCCAGGGGAATGATATATCACCCCTTGACACTACAGAGGGTTCTCTAGAGAGAGGCGTGGAGAGGCGTGTAGAGGAGAGGAGGAGGAGAGGAGAGGAGAGGAGAGGAGAGGAGAGGAGAGGAGAGGAGAGGAGGAGGAGAGGAGAGGAGAGGAGAGGAGGGGGAGAGGAGAGGAAAATGTAAAAGGCTGCGCATTAAAAAACGCTCCAAAAAGGAACCAGAAAAGCAGGTGGGCCATTAGATTAGCAAAAAAAAAACAGGTAGGGAATGGAAAGAAATGAGAGACGACAAGAGGTGAATTGTTGAGGCTCACTTTCTCTGACAGCCTGCTCTGTTTTGTTCTCCGAGCATGCTGTCTGTTCTGCTTTGACTGCCTGAAGTATTAAAGGAAGATGCAGAAAGGGATAAAATGGAAGAGAATGAAGATCTGGAGATAAGAGGAAAGGCTTCTGAAATTGACAGAGAAATGAAAGGAGAAGGGGTAAGAGAGACAGAGAGAGAAATGCAGGTCTTAAGACATTTTCACATCTGATAAAAAAAAAGAGCAGGGATGAACACAAAGAACAGGAGGAGCATATTAAACAACCTTATCGTTTTCACTTTTTTTACCCTTTCATTTGTGACTATTCAATATCTATGCATGGTCTGTAGCTGTTTGTATTCAGCAGAATGCCTCTGTCCCTTTTCTGTGTCTGACTTTGAATTAAGAAAGCCTTCCATTTAGTGTGAAACCAGCATTCATGTAGAAACAGCAGAAAAACAGTGTCTACACTTGTCAAGCTGACAGAAAAGGCGATCGAAAATCTCACTGCGTCTTTGCATATGGAAAATGTCTAGACAGACAGACAAGCTGGATGTTCGAGAAAGACTCTCTCCTTGCAGGATGTTCTGGCCTGCAGACAGCAGTGCTACAGTAGCAGGAGTATGTGACTGGACTGTCTGAGATCATAAATGTGCTACAGAGCTCCCACTATGCAGAAAGACTGATTTTCCTTGAGATAACTGTAAAATCACAATCAGAGAGAATGAGTTTTGCACCTGCTGTAGCAAATTTAAATTATGTAAATGATTTAAAACATGAAAAGTAAGTCATGCATGGGAAGGAGCTGATTAAAAACAGTTTAATATGCATCGGCAATGTGCCCACTGTAAGTCATCCCACAGCAAAGCTTAGTGTAGCTGTACTGAACCCGGACCTCAGACTTCAGGGGAAACAGTTTTCTACACTTTTAAAGCGATCCCTGCAGTCAGCTGTGTTAATCCAACTCTGTAATCTGCTGCTCAATCAGGCTTTATGAGTGAGCCGAGGCAACTACTGAGAAGATCTCGTGAAAAGGAATCAGCATCGTGGAGCGTAAGTGTGTGGGGGTAATTATGCATGAGCAAGATGGTTAGTGCCACGTTGGATGTTGGCAGAGGACTAACAGATGGTAATTCCCTCTTGCTTCTGCACTCCTGGCAGACCCTGGATTACAAATGCACTGGTACCTGCATCCACATTCACACATCTGCCCTCAAACTGATTTGCTCCAGCAGTCACAAATCTTAACATTTTTAAACTATACTGCTACACTGTGTTCTAGCTGGAAGAGCTAGTAATCAGTAAATCCAGTGAACTGTAGATAACCAGTTTTTGACTTCAGACAAGTTCCAAAAATGTCCCTTTATTGCATGTATTAACTAGTAGCTTTATTAATTTTATAAATAATAATAATAAACTATTAAATTTCGAATACGTATTGTCCTGACCACCTTTGAGATGCCAGGTTGTGTCATTTCTCACTTTTTGCTAAGCCAAATTTAAGGGAGGGAGGAGGGAGGGTCCCTGAAAGCAGAGCATGACTTAACTAAAGAAGTCACATTCATGTTATGATTCATTATATCCAAGATGGAAGACTAAGCAACAGAGTCGGACTCTGTCATGACAGTTGTTGCCTTCATATCAATGCTATGTGTGATTGATTGTATTTACAGTTTCAACAAAAGAGTATTTACACAGGATATAAACTCCATCACTCCTGCCCACTCGCTTGTGGTGAATTTTTTTGACTATGACCTGCTGCAGCACAGATCACTCACCCTGATGTCTTGCAGGAGTTTGATTATAGGATGACCAGTAAAATATTTTTGGGAAATGTCAGGAGTGCAACAATGATCCAAAAAAAAAAAAAATCTCAGTTTTGCTGCCAGATGATGACAAAAGCCTTTGATAAAGCTTCAAGGATTTCTCATCAGCAGATACTTTGTCATCTGTATTTTATTTTATAAAGTTAGTTGTCAATATTGTTTTAATAATCCAAACCTATACCTCAACTGTCTGATGTTCTTTAATTGTGGAATAATTTGACCCACCTGCAGCAAACACAGCACATGCTTGAAATTCAAACATTATAGACAACTTTCAACACTGAATATTACAAATATATTTGTCATGGGGCACGGGATCCATCTACAGGAGGTCTTGATTAAACAAAGCTTAAAGGGAGGGTTGGTCATTTTCTCTAGATACACTTTACTACTACACACTTTTGGTTGAAATTGTCTTTAAGTCCTGACAGACATGAATAATTCATGTACTCTGAAAAAGAACAAAGAAAATCCTGTATCAGTTGTAAACATTGACTTTGACCAATGTCTGCCAGGAGGTACCAATTTGATGAACCAATCACGCCTCCCTGTCTCCCTGCTCATTCTCTACCCCATGCATGCACGAGCTCACACTCAAAGCATGAGCTGAGCTCCGCTTTTGGACCAATGGCGCTTGTGCATGTAAGTGAGGGGCGTGGGTGCAGACGGGGCACTGAGGGAATGCTTCTTTCAAAATCATGCTAGCTTTCGAAAATGACCGACCCTGCCTTTAAGCTTATTGAGATGATATGGCTGGAAGTTAAACAGGGGGAATGTGAATCCATACTTAATATTTTTATTTAAACAGACATTCAGTGTTAGCCAAACAATTAAAAGCTGCTGCTTGATTACTTCATTCCCAGCACTGCTTATAATAACTGGCATTGTGGTTTAGTGAATTTATGCTGTAAACCGTGGTCAGAAGTACAACAAGAAAAGATGACAAACAGTTCTATCATGATAGTTTCTGCCTCCTGTGAGCTCCAGTAAAGTAACGCCAGTAATACAGACTGGCCAGTCAGATGGTTTCCTGCATATGTTCTCACAGTGTTTCTTCAAAGCCTCCCTGGCATTATCACACCACACTGAGAGAGTCAAAAGCCTTTTTTTTCCAAATCAGTGGCACTCTATTTGAGACATTTTATCTTTAAGACCATCACCATGAAGCACCACAATGATGCCAATACCAACTGGGCAGACTTGAAGACGTGAAGTAACATGTCCAGCAGCAAAACTATACTTTTTTGTTTCTTTGGCCTTTGTCAAAGTAGGGCAATGACATAAACATTTAAACATGAAAAAGTAGCCAACCCTTTTAAGCATGGAAGCCCAAAACAACAAAATCATTCTCACAGACCAAGCACTAACCTTGGTGTCACCTAAACCAGAAATAACATTATAAATCCCTGAATGCAGCCAATAACACAAATTCAGAAATCTGTGGTGGCATAGCAGAAATAGAAGATACAGATTTAATACTGGTTGAAACACAATCTTGGATACATCTTCTATTGTAGGACGATGATGTGGCTGCTGGGATCCCACACACTTTTCTTATCTTCTGGTTTTTCCAAATATGGACCAGGGATGTCCAGGGACTAGCATTCCTTTTCGGGCTTTAGCATCTTCAGACAAGATAATTGGGTTATATTTTAAGAATGATCTCACTGACTGGCTTGTTAGCTGACTCGTATGCAGAAGTCTGTTTATAGAGATTATTCAAAAGCTAAATTGTTAACAGCCTGTAGGTTCCCGTGTTGCATTGCGACCCATGCATTTTGCATCTTTTTCTCTTCACATAGAGGGTTTTCCTTCATACAGAACGTTCAAAACCCTTGCCCGAAAAACATGAGACAAAGCAGGAAACAGTCATTTAAACGTTCCTCACTGAAAAGAGAGGCAGACTAAAACTGTGCTAAAAAAATTGAACTGTCAACTTCCTCAGAGTGAGGAGCAGCTACAGGAGAGAAAACTGGAGAACAAGAGCACTGCTTCCACCAGCTGACATCCTACATGCTGAATATGAGTTTTTTTTTTAAATTTTTTAACTTGAGTCAAAGTCAAAGTGCATTTCAGTGGAATTGTTGGAGGAGGGAGTGGAGCTGTAACTGACAGTACCTTTAACAGCTGTGTTTTTAACTTCACACAGAGAGAAAACGGCTTATTTGATGGAACAAAATCTCTGCTGTCCAGTTTGCTGTGAGATCTTTGAGAATCCTGTTTTCCTGTCATG